CAGCTCGGGCGGCGGCCATGGCCGCCCGCGGAGACCTGGGCCCAGTAGCCTCTGTGGATGGTAGCTATCCCACTTGTGATATTAATTGTTTAATATGGAACAAGTAATGACTCTCCCAGATCCATCCGCCCCTATCTTTTCGCCTAGCGGCGGGCGGGCAGTGGTGCGGGAGCGGCTGGAGAAAGATGAATTTCAAGGCCTGCCTGTACTGCTTTTAAACCTTGATGACGTATATGTCACATTGCCCCTTTCTCCAAAAATTCGCCTCCGCCATCACTACCCAGGGACCCTTTCAGAGGACTGAGGTGAAGAGAAGATGTGGGGAGAGCTCACACGCCTGATGGCGTTCCACGCACTGCTCCGAGCACGTGGGGCTCTGTCGCCCCAGCTCTGCAGAAAAAACAATCAGATCACCTCGTTCACATATTGATTGTCCCTTTGATCCACTGCGGTCTGCCTGTTCATGGCGAGAGCCCCCGCCGGGGAGATGATCGAGGTCTGGGAGGCATCTGCCTGCACCCAGGTAGCTGCCGCGTGGGGACGCTGCGGTCTGCACTGCCCAGTACTTCCCTGCTCTCCTGGCGAGTGCGCGTGGGCACCTGCCCGTTGTTCTCTGTGAGTATGAAGGTGCGACAACCATGGGGTTAGGCGGGGTGATGCCCCAAAGCGCTGGCCTCAGAGGCTGGTCGGAAGAGGCCATGGGACCAGGCGCTGCCTTGGTCTTGTGCATGTCTAGGCCCTTTGGTTTCTGGGGGGCTGGCTGGGTTGCCCCTGTGGGGTGGGAGCGGGCCTCACACCCTGTCCCTTTAGCTGGGTGGGGGTGGGGGAGGGCAGTTTGAGCGGGTTCTTCTGGGGTTTTCCTGTCCTCTGGTGCTCCCTCCAGTAAGGGTGGTCGGGCCCGCAGGAGAGCAGGCAGCTTTGGGGTGTTCCACCCGACGCCAGGGCAGGTTTCCTTGTGGGGTGAGGTGTTGGGTGTTAGTGTTGGTGGCTCAGTTGGGTGGGTGCCCTGAGGGTGGGTGCCCGGGGCTCTCCTTGCTCCTGTAGCAGTGAGCGGGGAGGACAGGCCCAGACTCTGGGCAGAGGGTGCTGCCCACCCCCTGTGGGAGAGCAGGCGGCGGGGGGCAGCGGGGTGCAGGGATTTCAGGGCGGTAGACGACACGTGTGAGCTACTGGTAACATCTTCGAAGGCTTTCCAGTCCCCGTCGCCACCCAGAGCTGGGTTTCTGAACTCCCAGAGAACACTGAATCTTTTGAATCTTGGAATTTGGCGACATTTCAAACTCCATCGACGCTCAACCCTCGAGGTCCCACAGAAGCCGGGCAGCCTCTCGGGGTGTGTCCTGTGATTTAGTAAGAATGTCTTAGGCAACCGCGCGGCAGGAGCAGGTGCGCATTCCTTTCCGACGGGCAGGCTGCACTCCCATGATGCTCAGGTGGAGGAATGCTCGGGCAGGACCAGGCGTCATGTCATGGAGGTGTGACCTCTGACCCTCCTGCTTCAGACCCTGACCTCCCCGCCGGTCCCCAGGCCCCACCCTCGCCTCGGAAGCCCAGTGTCCGGGGTTTGGGCCTGGACTCGCGGGTCGAGGTGAAGCCCCACGAGGAGAGGAGTGGTGCCTTGCTCAGACGTCACCCGGCTGTGTCTGGGCCTGGTGAACAGGTGGCCTTCTAAGCTGGAGTCGGAACGTCGGCAGGTCCCACCTGCCAGACCCCTCGCCTCCCCCGGGAGGCCACGGGCAGGACGAGAGGTGGCCGTAGGCTGGTCTGAGCCCTGGGCCCCTGGGCGTGGGGGAGTGTGAAAAGAGGCCGTTGTGTGGGCCTTCTCGTTTCTGCCTTTTTCATCGACTTTATTTTAAAAAGAAGTTGGCTCTGTCCCCAGGGCTCACCCAGCACCACCCAGGCAGGACACCGGCAAGCACGCCCGGCATTGAGTGTGGTCACACATCAGATCCATAATCGGTGTGAGCGGCCGGGTTCGGCCAGACTTGGTAGAATTCACGGGTTGGAAATGAACCGTGCGGTGTGGATTTATCAGGAAAATTCTCCCCCCGCCCCCGGGTGGAGTGGCTTCGTCCCTCCCCACGCTGGGGGAAGTTAAGTAAAGGGACAGGAAAACGCTGAGCAGTGCCCCAGAGGAGGGGCCTCTGTTAGGGGAGAAGAGAGACCCTAAATGTGTCCGTGGTCCCTTCAAGTCCCTGCTCCTGCGTCTCTCCTCTCTGTGTCTGTGTGAGTGCTGGTGACTCACTTGGTCATTTGCCTTTGTCACCTGGGATAAGAGGTTATTGTGAGGTTTTGGTGGGGTTTTTTTCTAATTTTTTCCTTTTTTTATTGGATTTATTGGGGTGACGTTGGTTAATAAATGTAGCATGAGAGTTTTGAGGAGGACACTGGATGGCTTTCGACAAGGACCTGCTCAGTCCTTCGTCCAGCAGACGTTTGCGGAAGCACCTGACCTGTCTGTCCCCGCCCACTCAGGTGGAGAAGAGACACGCGTGGGGGAGCAGAGGGAGGCAGAGGGGTGGCGTGGGTGGACTCGAACACTAAGAAGTCATAGAAAGGTTTCTTTCACTTACTTTCCTGGAGGGCGCTGGCGAATTTCAGGACTGACACCAGTTAAATATTAACCGTGTCTGCAAACAGCAGTGTTATCTCCTAGAGATGGTGTTAAAATGCAGATTCCAGCTCAGGGAGGCGGGGGCGGGGCCTGAGACCCCCTGTCCACCTCCCCCCGGGGAGCCACCCTTGCTGGGCCGAGCTCTGAACACGTTCCCTCCCATTCTGTCTTCAGTTTCTTTTTCTCCAGAAAGCCCCCCGAAAAGGACACTTTCCCCTGCGAGAGCTATGACTTCATCGGGGAACCTGCCCGGTGTCTCCAGCGACCAGCCGGGCGCTGTTGCGAGTGGCGCTCTCCTGTGCCCTCTCCGCGCTGTACTCCACTTATGACCATGTGCCTGGGGTCCTGCTGGGATGCTTCCTTGGGTTCCCCCGGGTTTTATTCGGTGGTTTCTCTCTTGTTTATGATAAGAACACGTAGAAAGGTCTGGAACCTTCTGAGCCTTGAATGGCCTGGAGCTGATGCTGCCAGCCTTCATTTGAGGAGAGTGTGTGTGTGTGTGGGGGGGTGTCCCCACTGAGCACCCCACTCCTGCTGAGGACTGCGAGGGCCCCAGGCAGTGGCGGGGATGAGGCCGGTGCCCAAGGGAGGCTGCCAGTCTGGCCCGGCCGGTATTGTTAGTGTGAGCTCCGGCCCGGGTGGGGCTGGTTGTCCTCCCAGCAGCTGGTGTCGTCGTCTGGCCTGCGTGTTGGGGTTCACGCCACATCACCTCGTCTTCGTTAGACCTTTTGAACCATCACCCAATTCCTTCCTTGGATAATGGGTCGTGGACCGTTGGGGACTTGCATTCTTGCCTCCCCTAGTTGCTCAACGCACGTGTCGCTGGACCCCATGGGGCTGGGACTCCGTTCCTTCCCTCGCCGTCCTCTCTGCGGCACCCCCTAGGCCCGTGGTGATGTTGGACCGCGCAGCGCTTCCGGAAGGCCAGCGGATGAGCTGATATCCGGGGCCACGTGTGCTCGGAAATGTCGGGGTCGATAAAGTTCACGTCTTATGGCATCTCCTAACTTCCAGAAAACTTAGGGTGACACTCCAAGAGGAAGATAGAGTATGGTGGTTCCAGGTTTGGGGGCACGGCACCCCTTTTTGTGCTGATGATGTCATGGGCCTAGTCTTTTATAGAGCACCCTCTCTTTTTTCAAAAGCAGCTTTATTGAGATGCAGTTCACAAATCAGTGTACCCAGTTAAAGTGTACAGGTCCACTACAGTGAATATGCTCAGATACGTGCAGTTAGTTTGGTGTGTAGACACATGAATGTAGTATGTACAGTGCCCAGTTAGGATCGTCACAGGTAGGCACACCCTTGTCACCACAGTCACTTTTACTTTTTTTTTTTTTTTTAAAAATAAATGTTTTGCCCTAACCAGTTTGGCTCAGTGGATAGAGCGTCGGGCTGCGGACTGAAGGGTCCCAGGTTCGACTCCGGTCAAGGGCACGTGCCTTGGTTGCAGGCTCCATCTCCAGTAGGGGGTGTGCAGGAGGCAACTGATCGATGTTTTTCTCTCATCGATATTTCTAACTCTCTATCCCTCTCCCTTCCTCTCTGTAAGGAATCAATAAAATATATTTAAAAAAATATATGTTTTTATTGATTTCAGAGAGGAAGAGGGAGAGAGAGAGAAACACCAACAATGAGAGAGAATCATTGATCAGCTGCCTCCTGCACGGCCCCCTCTGGAGATCGAGCCCAAAACCCGGGCATGTGCCCTGATGGGGAATTGAACTGTGATCCCGTGGTTCTTGTGTGGATACTCAACCACTGAGCCACATCGGCTGGGCCACACTCACTTTTAGAGTAACTCAAGACATCAGAAGGAGCCCTCTACTCTGTCACCGCTTGTCCGCCATCACCCCGCCAGTCCTACCAACCACTGCTCTGCTCGCTGTCCCTGTAGCTCTCTCTGTTTGGGGGATTTTTATGGCTGAGATCCTATAATAGGTGGTTTTGTGGCTGGCTTCTTTCACTTAGCGAAATGTTTGCAAGGTTTCTCCATGTACGGCACATGTCGCGATTTCATTTTCATGGCTGAACAATATTACTGTTCCCTTGTATGTACATAACACCTTTTGTTTCTCCGTTCATCTGTCTTTGAATCTTTGGGTTGTTTGGACCTTTTGACTGTTGGGAATGATGCATTCATCAACATTGGTTTGGCCCACAGCTCTCTGTCTGAGTCCCTGCTTCCAGTTTTTTTGGGTATATACCAAGAAGTAGAACTGCGGATTACATGGTAAGTCTATATTTAGCGTTTTGAGGAATTGCTGTATGTAAAATGGAGGCTGCACCATTTTACATTCTTGTCAGCAGTGCACAAGGGTTCCAATTTCTCCACATCCTCACCAGCACTTGGAATTTTCCAATTTTTTTTTTATAGCTGCCCTAAGTGGGGCGAAGTGCTATCTCATTGTGGTTTTGATTTGCATTTCGTTATTGACTTGTAGTTTTTCAATATATTATGATATTAATCCCTTTATCAGGTAGATGATTTGCAGCTATTTTGTCCCATTCTGCAGGTTATCTTTTCACTCTCTTGTCCTCAAAACAACAACAACAAAGAAACTAAAAAAAAAAAAACCCCACAAAAGTTTTAAAATGTATATATATATATTTTTTTCCGTGAGTTAAAATTATTTTTATTGTGAACAATACATATATTTCTTTAACATTATTGTAAAAATTTTAAAGACTTTTTTTGTGTTTATGCCTATAACAAAATTAGGAAGAAGGTACAGAGATTTCCCATAAATCATTTGCTCCCACACATGCGTTGCCTTCCCTTCCCTTTTTTTTTTTTTTTTACCAAGGCTGAAACTACACAGCAACATATAATCATAATCACCCAAAGTTCATAGTTTACCTTATTTTACTTTGTTGTACATTCTATGGGTTTGGACAAAAGTATAATGACATATATCTATCATAATATCATACAAAGTATTTTCTTTTTTTTTCCCATTGATCCGATATAATTTTTATTTTAATTTTTAATTCTTTATTG